TGTAATAAATGATGAAGGTTTTGCGATGCATTTTCTTTACCATATAAAGTAATAAATGTTTTTACAAAATACTGTAATAAGATTTTTGAATAATCTAAATATTGCTCTATATGTTTAGAACATGACAAGATAGTAACAGATATATGCAATGTTAAAAAATTTTAATATTGATCATTATTTAGAGTAGATTTTAAGACAACGGACCCTGTGTATAATAAAAAAGTTCTAAATTCAGTTGCCTTCCATCGTTTATTTTCGAATAATGATCTTGATTTTCTATTAAATTCAGAAGGTATATTATCTCTTTGATTAATTAATAATTTTGATATTTCAGATATTTGGTAAAAAGATAATTTTGTTTTAGGTTTTCCGTTACACCATAAAGAAACAACAAGTTTTTTAACAATTCCCAGGAACACTAAATGTATCGGGTCGGATGGAAAATCATCCACCATATTTAAATTAGGAATCGATTCAAGTAGTGATGTACCTGTATGATGATTTTCCTGTAATTTTAATCGAAAAGCGTTATCTGTTCTTAAATTACAATTATTTAGATATGAATAAATCACTCTGTCAAGAAAATATTCACCTTTAACTGTACATTTAGAACATGCATAATAACCCGAATGGCCTTTTGTACAAGTAACAAAAGATTTAGCAGGAACATCGCATATAAAACATCTAATTTTAAAAGAATAAGTATGACCTTTAATTTTCACACCATGTACAGTTAAATTTCTTGCTTCTTCTGTGAAGGGTCGTAAAAATATATTGACATCAGTGGGTTTTTCATACCCATGATAAATTCCAATAATATTAACTTCGTTGTAATTTCCAACTAAATTACATAAAATAGAGTAAACTTGACTGCTTGTACTTTAGAATAATGGCAGACCATCAATGTTGATATTAATTTGAATACTATTTAAATTTTGAAAAGAACAGCGTGATAAAAGTGTTTCAATGCAATTATTTAAACGATAGTAGCGTCCAAAATGATAGTAGCGTCCTGATGCGACAATGTCTACATTAACCATTCTGGGAGTTCCTAACAAAGTGCGAGCATCTACCCATACAGCACAGAAGCTGCAGCAACATTGTTGTAACATTGCAAAATTGCATATTGCAGTGCAATATTACAGCAAAATTGCAAAAACAATATTGTGCAATATTATTTCTGCAATATTACAGCTATATTGCAAAGATATTAATTTGCAGTAACAATTGAATATCCGTGAACGAATGTCCTATGCGACGCTAAATGCTTTAACCTCTATTCGTTGATAGATGTTACAAAAAAACTTGATTGCGATTGTTCAATTTTTAAAGCTTACGGCTTAAATCACCATATGTTAGACTAGTTAGGGTTAAAGTCGGTCTTAACTCTATGACTCATTGTAAAACCAGCTTGTCGTCATGCTATATCAATATTCTAATTGGTGAAGAAGACCTTGTGCCTCCATCGAATCAGCAGAGATCTGGTCACGTGATCAGTTTGCCACTTTCTCCCTTTGAGGCTCTCTAGCTGGAAGTTGGAATCTCCTTACAGTGTCTGTTACGTAGCTGGAGAAAAGAAGTATGTAAATACATTTGGTTATTTGTAACAAATACGTTATTGTAACGTCTTTCGATCAAACTGATCTAGATCATAGTCATATTTTCACCTCAAATGAGAAAGAACGCTTATCGACATATAATGGCAACGTAAATATCGTTTTGTAACGCAATTCACTCCGTAAATATTACAATTCGTCCCTTTATATTTTATTTAGTCAAGTTGCAGATGATACAAATGTGTGTGTTGAGAAACTGACGGAGCCTTATAACGTTTCTGAAAGACCTCATTGGAACCACCGTACTCAGAAATTGTATTTTGTCGACCTATATAAGTATATACGTAGACTACACCCTGCAACAGGTATTGTAAGCAATGCATACAGATAAGACTATATATCTCTTGGTATTTATTTGGTTTCCCGGATTTCACTTTGAAAATTGATTAGACTACCCACATAGCACCGCAATATTGCAGGAATATTACAGAAATGTTGGAGGAATATTATTAAAATATTGCATAAATGTAACAACAATATTGCAGAAATATTTAATGTCCTAGGCATAAGTCTCGCAGAAATATTGCGGGAATATTGTTATGATGTTGTAGGAATATTGTTACAATATCAGAGGACTATTGCCACAATGTTGTTGAAATATCGCCACAATCTTGCAGGAATACCTATGAAATATAGCCACAATACTGCAGAAAAATTGCAAAATATTGCCGAAATATTACTGCAATCGTGCAGGAATGTTGCTACAATATTTCTTAAATGTTGCTGCAATATTGCAGGAATATTACTGAAATATTGCATATATATCACAGCAATATTGCAAAAATACTTAATGTCCTAGGCATAAATCTGGCAAAAATATCTCAAGCGTGGTCTACAATGGCAGTATGCAGTAAGAAGTAATCGTAAGCGGTAAGAAATAAACCAATCATAGTCGATTATGACAAAAATAATCAACTGTGGTTGGTCCATTTCTTACTGTTCATGCTTTCTTCTTATTGCTTACGGCCATTGTAGACCACGCTTTAGAAACACTGCGCTAAATAAAAAAATATTTCAGACAAAAGTTGTTTGACTTGAAGGGGGACATAAGACAGCGATAGCATTTTGTTAATAGATGGTGCCACTTTCCAGATATTCACTGACTATCAATTTTTATAAATGAAAATCCCAACTTTTTATTATATCTTCTTTTTCTACCAATTAATTTGAATAACTTTTGTCTGAAACATTTTTTATTTGCTCAATATTTTTTGAGATATTTAAGGAAAACTTGGTAACTTTTCCAACATTTATCTTACGATATCTCGCTAACTATTCATCGACAAAAAAATAGTATTAGACTTTTTTACTTTATTTAATATCAAGAATATATTAGTAGCGCCCTAACTTTTGTTAATTTAATAATTTTGAAATTTCCAAAGGTCGATAAGTTAACAAAAGTTAGGGCACTATTATAATAATATATTCTTGATAGTAAGTAAAGTAAAAAAGTCTAATACTATTTTTTCTTTCGACGAATAGTTAGCGAGATATCGTAAGTTAAATGTTAAAAAAGTTACCAAGTTTTCCTTAAATATCTCAAAAAATATTAACCAAATAAAAAAATATTTCAGATAAAAATTGTTCAAATTAATTGATAGAAAAAGAAAATATAATAAAAAATTCGGATTTCCATTTATGAAAATTGATTGTCAGTGAATATCTCAAAAGTGGCGCCATTTATAAACAAAATGCTATCGCTTTCTTGTCCTCTTTCAAGCCAAACAACTTTTGTCTGAAACATTTTTTTATTTAACGCAGTGTTTCTGAGATATTTGTGATGTGACATTAAAATGGGACATCCTGTATATAAATTGTTTCACACTGCAATATTGCGGCGGTAATCAGAAATATTACGTGGCGGTCTGTCATGCTGGAATAAAGCGGCAATATTCCTATGATATTGCAATGAGATTTATCATCGCGCAATATTGTTATAATATTGTCACTATGTTGCCATATAATAGTCACGTTGTAACATTGCAGTAATATTCCAGTGATATTGTATCTGATATATCACTCCGCAACATTGTTATAATATTCCTGTGATATTATACATTGATATATCACATTGAAGTATTACTGCGATATTCAGAAATATTACGTAGTGGTCTATCATGTTGGAATATAGCGGCAATATTCCTGTGATATTGCAATGAGATTTATCATCTCGCAATATTGTTGTAATATTGTCACTATGTTGCCATACGATAGTCACATTGTAACATTGCAGTAATATTCCAGTGATATTGTAATCTGATATATCACTCTGTAATATTGTGATAATATTGCTGGAATATTATATAATAATCTTGTGATTTTGTAATATTGCTACGATATTATAATATTGCTTCAATATTGCTGCAATATTGCAGTGCTGTGTGGGTATAAGCTATTTCGATTCGTTTTTACACAAAATGAACGAATTTTAAAGAAAAAAGTGTTATTCTACTCCGTAAAGCAATATGATTTTGATCAATATTGCAAATAACGGTATTATTTAGATTCAAGTTGCTATTTAATTATTATTTAAAATTTTATAAAAATAATAATAATATGGTAATGATATATATTTCAGAAGCTGTTCGTATATCCCACAGCGCAATGACAGACAACGACTATGCGGAATATGTATCGAAATGGCTTGCACAAGCGACTGTATGGATTTCAAGGCAAGCAATTGGAGAAACAGTGGCTCATGATTAACAATGATATTATCATTTAATATAATATTTTTATTAATAGTTTTATTAATAATATTAATATAACATTTTTCATTTATGTGTTCCTTTTATACAGGGTGTCCGGAATGTGATCATTAATATTTTGTGTACTGGTAGATTGGGTGTAGCCGAGAAGAAAAGTCATGTACCATGATGTCAAATTGACAATAGTTATCGAGTTATTAATTGAAACATGTGAGCTAATGAGCGCGTAGAGAGCGCTGCGCGGCCGCCTCTTGTCGCTTGCGCTGGCTCGTTCGTCGTTCGCGCTCGCTCATTCTTCGTCGCGCGCGCACACCTCTTGTCGCTTACGGTTATCTCTCGCTGCGCGAGGTAAGCCATCTTCTTATACACAGAGCCTGTCCTGTCGCATTCTCGTGCGCTTATTCGTTTACATATTTTAATTAATTACGGAATAAATATTGAAAAAAATTGTAAAATGGCACAGGACTTTTTTAATTGTTTTAACGAGTTCTACCAGTACACAAAATATTAATGATCACATTCCGGACACCCTGTATATATATGTATGTATGTATATATATATATATATATATATATCATTTTCACTATAGTCTGATTTAGTAGCTGGGACATTAACCAGACGCAAATCACAGACACAAACCTCGTATCGTTACCGAGACATCAAGTTAGTTGACGTCTATTTTCTCAGAGGGCGTATCAGGACAGACATCTGCTTTCACTCAGTGGCCGCTCTCAGGTTTCTCTCTGTCTGTACTCCTTACATAGTTTGGTGATTTCTCAGGGACTTTCTCAGGGAGCGCATCGAAAAAAGCGTCTCTTGGAATCCAACCGAATGGCCGTTCTCAGGCTTCTCTTTGAATATTTTCTGATTGAAATTCATACCACATGGTCACATGGAGCGATCGAAGTAGATGTGTGCGATCTTCAACATCTTTCTGTGTGTAATCATCGAATACCTTGGTTAGAATAGGAATGGTTGTTGATGATTTAAGAATTTTGTAACCTGATTTTAAAAGATTGATAAACTTGTAGTTAATAAAATGAATTCTAATATACTAGATAGTTTCAACAAATTTAGAAATGGCAGTGATATAATAAGAATAAATGCTGGTGTTGTATTATTGCATCATTTATATCAACATAACACGGTAAGACAATTTATAACCTTAAGTTATATTAACTTTAAACTATTTACAATAAATCTAAAAATATTTATTAGAAGAATTTATATGGAAGTAAAACTAGAATTTTGTTATATTTTATACCTTTCATATATAAATTAGTATATTATAAACACAATTTCTTGGAAATTAGACCTGAAATTTAATTTCATGTTTCTAATTATAATCTAATAAAAATATAAAATTTCAAGTTACTTGATATGAATATAATATATTTCTTCATAAATATGCCATTTATTGATATTTTGATATTATATATTTCATAAGAACAAATATTGGCAAATTTTTATCTAAGAATAAAAGAAAAGTTGGAAGAAAAGGATTTATTATTAATTGTTTAAAAATTAATGATTATTTTAATAATGTAATTATTTCAGTATGTAACATTAATTTATCATTGCAGAATCTGAATGATAAAAAGGAATTAAATTATGTATTAAACAGATTAGTGCGTAGTTTAGGATCATCAACAGTATTTGCAAAAAGAGGGTCTTACAGCACTTTGACAGTCTTTCTGAGAATGATACATTATGAAAATTCAATAGAAAAGCTTTTGTCTATAATGAATACTCAATTGCATCCAGCTAGTAGCAATTCTAAAAATGTATAATTTTTATTAATAATTTTTATAATTCTTTAGTTTGATAAACTATAATTCAAATTTTTTATATGTATATACAGGAGAATTCTGATATATATATGGGATATATATTATTATGCGGTGCTCTAATACGATCTAAATTACTTGTTCAAAATACTGTTGAAATACAACAACAGGTGATAAAGACTCTTTTGAATGCTGGTAAACAACGCAGTTATTTGTCATTTATCTCTGTTATATTTCTTGGTGAATTCATTGTACATCTTGATGTTAAATCTATGAAGAAAGCTATTTGGCCAATTATCAAACAACAATTTGGCAAACCATGGTCTGAACAAACGTTGGATACATTTTATATACTGCTTGTTATTAAAGATAGACATCCATCATTACTTGATCATAAGTTTTTAAAAGAACACTTGGGTGTGAAAGATATTATTACTAAAGAATCTATAGAAGATGTCATCAAATTATTAATGGTATGTCTTTAAATGATTGTAAATTTATTTCATAGAATTTATGTGTATGTGTACATGTATGTAAAATATATGCGATATATATATATCTGTGTATATATGTATATATATATATATGCACACACACACATACACACACACATACACACACACACACACACACACACACACACACACATACACACATACATGTATATATATATATATGTGTCATATAACATATAATTATTGTATTTTTTGTTATTATTTAGAGTTTACCTAGAATTGTCTCTCATCATCATCCAGTGTTTAAACTATTTTGTGAGAAGTTGGTATCGTCTGAACTTACAGCCGATTTTTGGAGAAGCATTGATCAGAAACTTATAAAACCATCAAAAAGGGATGAATATATTGTTATAGAAATTTTACGATTAATACTTTCTAATATTACAGATATGACTATAATTCCATTATTATTATCTCCAAATCTTTTGCAACACATGTTGAAAAGATTTTCTAATTGTAGAAAAAACACTAATGATGAAGTTTTAATAGCATTCAAAGAAGTTTTACATTTAATGGTATATGTTATGAATGATAAAGACATTAAGACAGAGACACAGCTGAATATATTAGAGAAATTTATATTATATCCTGGTGACTTAATGATAGAAAAAAAAACAGGTACCAAAGTAATTCAAATAATAACGGGAAAACTGAAATTTGATGGTATTAAGAAGTTATGCCAATTGTATAGAAACATTATAGAAAATAAAATAACTAAGAAAAAGAACAACATAAAATTGGAATTATGGACAAATGCAGAGCGAAGTTATGCAGCACAATTATTAACAAGGTATAAATATAAATTTAAAATGATATTCAAGATACATAAAACGATACTATTTATTGTAAATGATTAGTATAGAAAAAAAACTATCTATTTGTATATTTTACAACTAATTACATTGCACAATGTTACATACAATTCATAACGAATAAATTTAATGCGATAATGTCTGCAATAGCTATAATAATTTTTGATAATTTATAATATAGAAGGTTGATTCTTCTTTGATTTCAATGATCTTGAAGTATATTAAAAAATGAAAGTCACAGTGTTCTTGATATAGAATTGTAAGTTATTTTTTATCTATGAGAAAAATATTAGCAAAAACATTTAAAAATGTAAAAGTCAATTTTTATCAATGTAATAAAAAAAATCTGAGAAATATAACATGTTACAGAATTATACCAATACTTTGCAATTTATTGATGGCACATCGCCTGTTATAGATAATTTTAATATATTAACAAAAAGATAGTTCCACATGAATTATAGACAGTAAAGTATTAACATCGTTGTTCCCAATATAATGTGCTAATACACAGGATGTTTCATGATTACACATGATTATGTCTTAACTTAAAATATAAATTTAGAATCTTGAAATTGTAAAAATAGTTTTTTCAGAAATATTTCTAGAGAAATTTTTTTTATTTTGAGGCTCTAAATTCATATTTCAAGTTAGGGCATTTAACTCTGAAATACCTTGTATGTATAAGTACAGTATATGAAATATATTGTTTTGAAATTTTGCAATTTTACATTGAATTATATTGAGAACAAGTTATTCTTGCTAACTATTATCATGCTAAACATTTTCCTTTGCTTATATATTTTTTTGCACCAGTCTCCTAATATATTATATGACCAATGTGTAGTACACAAATAGCTTTTTACAAATTTTTAAATCAATTCATCAAATTCATGAGTTTATATGAGTAAATATTATATACTAAAATAATAAATTCTGTAAAGATTAGCGAAAACCTCTATACAAGGTTTGAATTCAAGAGATTTATTAAATTATATTGGGTCTGGGAAAAAGTTCGTGGCGTTTTTCCCGATAGATGGCGTCAATTGCAAATAACTCAGGAAACACAGATCGCAGCGACATCACTAAACGCTCGTTGGAAAGGTGACACTTCGAGCGTTACTTTGAGTGTATAAACATCGAAATTGGTGCAGTGGTTAGAAAGTTGTTTGCGTTTGAAAATGGAGAAAAGTAATGAAAAATTGCGCTACATTTTGCAATATTATTACGACAAAGGGAAGAACTGCGCAGGCTTGTGAAAAAATTTGTGCTGTGTACGGTGAAGATACTTTATCAAAATCTGCTGCGCGGAAATGGTTCGCTTGCTTTCGTTCTCGTAATTTTGATGTGAAAGATGAGTTACGCTCTGGTCGTCCAATTACTGAAAAAGCTGATGAAATTCTTGAAAAAGTCCAGCAAGATAAGCATATCAGCAGTGTCGATATTGGTATGTAGCTAGGCATTAACCACAAAACTGTTTTGAACCATTTATACAAAGCTGGCTACAAAAAGAAGCTCGATGTATGGGTTCCTCATGAGTTGAGCGCGAAAAACACGATAGACCGAATTAACATCTGCGATGCGTTGCTGAAACGCAATGAAATCGAGCCATTTCTGAAACGTGTCATAACCGGTGATGAAAAATGGATCACGTACGAAAATCGGAAGTGTCAAAGATCGTGGACAAAGGATGGTGAGCCGTCATAAGCGTTCGCGAAGCCAGGATTGACGCCGAAAAAGGTGATGCTGTGTGTGTGGTGGGACTGGAAAGGAATCGTCCACCATGAGCTACTTCCAGTTGGTCAGACGATTGATTCTCAACTCTACTGTGGACAACTAGAGAGATTACGCCAGGCAATTGAAAGAAAACGGCCCGAATTGAATAATAGGAAAGGTGTTGTCTTCCATCATGACAACGCCCGACCACACACTTCTTTGATGACCCGTCAAAAATTGCGAGAGCTTGGTTGGGAAGTTTTGATGCATTCACCGTATAGTCCAGACATAGGACCTTCTGATTATCACTTGTTCCGATCTCTGCAGAACTCTCTCAATGGAATTAAGCTGGTTTCAAAAGAAGCCTGTGAAAACCACTTGATTCAGTTTTTCAACCAGAAACCACAGAAGTTCTTCACCGATGGCATCATGGCTCTACCCGAAAAATGGCGAAACATTGTCGATAATTATGGAGCATATTTGATTTAAATAAATTCATTTTCACACTGTAAGAAAACCAGTTGAAATTTACGAAAAAAACGCTTTTTCCCAGACCCAATATTTTAGAAATTTTGCTATACTACTGTGATAAAAAAATAAGGTGAATTTGTTTATAAAATGAAAAATCTTTATTCTTCCAAATCAATTTCATCGCCTTCAAAGTACTCCCTGTCCGACACAATGCACTTATGCCAACGTTTTTTCCAATCCTCGAAACAGTCAGAGAAGTCTTTCCGGGATGGCCTTCAATACTTTCTTCGATTCGGCTTTTATCTCCTCAATCGAGTCGAAACGGTGTTCCCGGAGCGGTCTTTTGAGTTTGTTGAACAGCCAGAAGTCGCACGATGCTAAATCAGGCGAATACGGTGGTTGTGGAACGATGTGGGTCGAATTTTTCTCGAAATGTTCTCGAAGAACCAATGCAGTGTGGGATGGTGCATTATCGTGATGCAAAAACCAAGAATTGTCTGCCTTTTAAAATGGTTTGGGTTTATCCAAATGAAATGCCCGTAGCATCAGCAAGGTCTCTAATTGTCAATCGACGATTTTCGAACAGCAAATCTTTGATTTCCTTGACGTGGCTTTCATCGGTAGATGTTGATGGTCGTCCGGGGCGCTGTTCATCTTGAACTCGTTCTCGGCCTTCTTTGAAGTCTTTGTACCACTTGTAAACATTTTTTTGCGATATAGCCTTATCACCAAAGGCCTTCTGCAACATCCTCAACGTTTCCGCGGCAGAATATTCATTCCGCAAACAAAATTTAATGCAAATTCTTTGCTCAACAAAATCAGACATAGTAAAAATCGAAAAACTCATTTTTGTATGTTTACAAAAACACATATAGCTCTGCAGCAATTGAATATATTGATATGAAACTCTACATAGATGTCAAAAACAGTGCTACCAACCCACAAAAAAATAATTTCATGATTTTATTGTATCGGCGAAGTTTAAATGAAAAATTCACCTTATTTTTTGATCACAGTAGTACATTTAAATTCGTAACTTTTCTATGGACCTTAAACTTTTTTAAAATTATTTTAATACAAAATAGACTTATTAATTTATAGGTGAAAGAAAGAAGGGAAGGAGAGAGAGAGGTGAGCGAGATGCGAAAGAGAGGGGGGAGGGGTAGGAGAGAGAGTGCGCGAGAGAGAAAGAGAGTAGGGGCGGGAGGGAGAGTTGGAGGGGGAGGAGAGAGAGAGAACGTATAATATTATACAAGATAATTCGAAACAATCAGTTGTCCTTAATATGCCATATTCTTGAGCAAATTCTAAGATCATTTTTCTTCTTGCAAAATGTTATCCGATGTTTGGTTACTGAGTTGTAAGATAAATAGTTCGTCTATTACAGGCCGGGTACAGAAGGTAGGCAGGGACGGAACAATTAATATCCTACTAATTTATAATACTGTTGTGTCCGAGCCACAAGGTTTGTGGCAGCGTCCGTTGTCCGTGAGCTTTAGGCATCTGATGCTGATTTTGACAACTGAACGAAGATTGTCTGGACGACGGAAAATCGATAAGAAGAAAATAACAACAGCTGAATGAGAGTCTCTGACCAGCTGTTATCGAGGACAGACGCGAGAATTATCAAATAAAGAATTATTCTTATTTAAAGCTTGAGCGAGCTGCGCTGTAAATAGTAAAGCTTGTTATTCTTACGCGAGTGTTTTCATTTACCTGAGTGCAAGCGCGAGTGCGAGAGTGAACGCAACAATACTATATTTGCTATTACACCCGCGATTGTTAAAATTTTTAGGTTTTAAAAATAATATGGATGAATTTTATTACCTGCGTCGATCAGCACACATCGCACCAAGCGCTCAACGTCAGTACCTACACGACATGCGCCCCAACGGTCAATTGTTCCGTCCTTACCTGCCTTCTGTATTCAGCCCATAATAAACGAACTATTTATCTTAATAACTCAGTAACTAAGCATTAGATAACATTTTGCAAGAAAAAAAATATCTTAGAATTTGCCCAAGAATATGGTATATTAAGGACAACTGATTGTTTCGAATCATCCAGTATATATCATATTTGTTTGTTAATGATTTTAAATAATGCATAACAGTTATAATTTTGTGAATATCAGGATTATAACCTTGATAACATATTAATTTTTAGTCTTTTAAACTTTTTTTATAAACAACTTTAATAAATAATAAGCAACTTTTATAAGTACGCTCAGTGTCTTTTAGCATTTAAAATATTTCAAGATTATTGAAAACAATGAGATTGGTCCTATTATTTATAATTGCCTGATCTTTAATTAATAAGTTTATTAAAGAAGACTATAATGATTATGTTGTTCCAAAAGTAGTTCCAGAAGTATCTGACCTGACGTATAGATGGTGGTTGTTGTTTGAAAAGAATGACTATGGTAGAAAGTACCAACCTTATAAAGTTTAAGTTTGAAGTTTGATGACGCTACGTTGTTTAGTATTTGTTTGGCAGCCATCAATAGTGAACGCTCTCAGTGGATTTGTAAACATGGAAAAAATTGGTTATCGTTATGTGATACAATACTTTCACTTGAAAGGCCTCAGTCCAACCAATATTAAAGCGGAGCTAGATTCTACTCTGGGGGAGTCTGCTCCTTCGTTTACAACAGTAAAATATTAGGTGGCAGAGTTTAAACGAGGTCGTACGAGCTACCAAGACGAACATCGCAGTGGTCGACCAAATGAGGTGACCACGCCAGAAATGGTGAAGAAAACCCACAAAATGGTATTGGATGACCGTCAACTGAAAGTGCGCGAGTTAGCAGACATGGTAGGCATTTCAAAAAGTGATGTACATCGCATATTGACTGAAAATTTGGACATGAGAAAACTGTGCGCAAGATGGGTGCCGCGATTACTCACAATGGAACAAAAACAGCGTCGTGAGGATGTTTCAGTCGAGTGTTTGACGAAGTTTCACAGCAATAAAGCCGAGTTTTTGCGTCGATTCATAACCATGGATGAAACATGGGACTATCGCTTCACACAATAGAGACGAAGGAACAGTCAAAACAATGGACTGAAAGGGGATAATCGGCTCCAAAGACGGCGAAGACAGTTCCATCTGCAGGCAAGGTCATGGCGTCAGTTTTTTGGGATGCGCATGGGATAATTTTCATTGATTATCTTCAGAAAGGAAAAACAATCGACGGCGAGTATTATGCGAACTTATTGCAGCGTTTGAATGATGAAATCAAGAAAAAACGGCCGCATTTGGCGAAAAAGAAATTTTGTTTCATCAAGACAATACACCAGTTCACACATCCGTTATCGCGATGGCCAAAATCAATGAGTTAAAGTTGAATTGCTTCCTCACGCACCCTATTCGCCAGATTTAGTCCCCTCGGATTATTTTCTGTTTCCAAATTTGAAGAAATGGCTCGGTGGTAAAATATTTGCCAACAATGAAGAGGTGGAGTCTACGGTTGATGGCTATTTTGAGGAGCTCGACGATTCCTACTATAAACAGGGTATCGAAGCTATTGAACATCGCTGGGAAAAGTGTATTGAACTAAAAGGAGACTATGTAGAGAAATAAAGATATTTGTTTCCAAATTTTTTGTGTTTTCTTTGTTAGGTCAGGTACTTCTGGGACTACCCTCGTAAAACGCTCGAATAAGATACAATAAGGCGTCTTATACATTGATATTGATATAAAAATCTTATGAAGAAACTATAATAATAAGTTTATATTTGTATTATAATAATTTAAGTAATGACATATAAGTACACTGACAAGGAGATGACGCCAATTAGAAAATCGTTTTTCGAACGAGTCATAGTGCGTTCGATAGCTTGTATGTAGGTGATGGAAACCCTAGAGCCGTTCGTGTCAATGCGCCTTTGTTTAAGAGAATTTAAGAGACAAAGTTAGGGTCACGCAAGTACATCGCACATAAGCAGAACTTTACGACCTCTTTCGAGTAAGCGACGTAGCTGAGGAGACTAAGGCTCTCACACATAGATTTTTGCACCGGCGGCGAGCGTTCGGATCCTACCGACGACTGCTTCACTTCATGGTTTTTTTTCTTCTTTTCTTTAATTTTCGACATATAGTAATACGTTATTAATAATTATTTATTTATTTTTTAATTTATTCCGTTTTTATATAAAAAATAAGGACATTTCGGGATATTTGAACGCAATATGAAATAAAAAATATATAAATCGTATGAACTGATTATATATTTTTCAAGCAACGTATAAATTTTATACATATCAAAATCAAATACAAACTTTATAAATGTCTACATATTATAAAATGTTTCCATCGCTTCGCAGTGTTGTGGATGAGAATTCATGTAAAAACATTGGAAACATAAAACTTTGTCGCACCACGAACATTTTATAAATGAATTATGTTGTTCACATACGCATTTTTTATTATAAATATTTGGAGGAAAGCATAGTTGGTTAACATTTAAAAACATTTCTCTTTCGTCAGCTAATTTGGACGCATACCATGCATATTGAAGCATACATTTAATCTTAGCATACATTAAATCTTGGATTTAAATCTTGGATTTAAATCTTGGATTTAAATGTATGCTTCAAGTATGTTTGGTATGCGTCCAAATTAGCTGACGAAAGAGAAATGTTTTTAAATGTTAACCAACTATGCTTTCCTCCAAATATTTATAATAAAAAATGCGTATGTGAACAACATAATTCATTTATAAAATGTTAGTGGTGCGACAAAGTTTTATGTTTCCAATGTTTTTACATGAATTCTCATCCACAACACTGCGAAGCGATGGAAACATTTTATAATATGTAGACATTTATAAAGTTTGTATTTGATTTTGACATGTATAAAATTCATACGTTGCTTGAAAAATATATAATCAGTTCATACGATTTATATATTTTTTATTTCATATTGCGTTCAAATATCCCGAAATGTCCTTATTTTTTTATATAAAAACGAAATAAATTAAAAATAAATAAATAATTATTAATAACGTATTACTATATGTCGAAAATTAAAGAAAAGAAGAAAAAAAACCATGAAGTGAAGCAGTCGTCGGTAGGATCCGAACGCTCGCCGCCGGTGCAAAAATCTATGTGTGAGAGCCTTAGTCTCCTCAGCTACGTCGCTTACTCGAAAGAGGTCGTAAAGTTCTGTTTATGTGCGATGTAGTTGCGTGACCCTAACTTTGTCTCTTAAATTCTCTTAAACAAAGGCGCATTGACACGAACGGCTCTAGGGTTTCCATCACCTACATACAAGCTATCGAACGCATTATGACTCGTTCGAAAAACGATTTTCTAATTGGCGTCATCTCCTTGTAAGTAAATAATATTTATATAAAAATACTGAAGCAAAATATTCCTATATGATATATCAAGAAATTACAACAAACGTTTTGATATGAAATGAGTTTATTCTTGCATTTTTTTGTTGTATAGTATTTACCTTAGATGTAATCTTGTAAGATATAGAACGAACAAACATGTTATATAATAGCTTATTTCTAAACTTGTATAAAAATATATTTTTCACAATATTTTTATAAGAATATTATTTGTGTATACAATACATTTATTTCGATAAAAATAGATGAACTTATGGCATATATATATAATTTTTCTGTCAACATGAAAAATGCATATACATATGCATGTTTTATTGTTAAATATTGTACTATACAAGAGTGCAAATATTTTAATTGTTATAGCTAGTTAGTTTTAATTATTATTTGGAAAATTATTATAGTATTTACATTTTCATATTAAGATTTTTGTTTTCAAATTATTAAAAAAATTTTATGAATTTTAAACATAAAATTAATATCAATTTTATCGTTATATTCTATACATATTAAATGTCTTTTTTAAAGCAATAGTTTAATTGAAAATAATTAAAAGATATTTTTAATATTTTATGATGAAATAATTTTTCTTAAGTGATTCTTTTTGTTGAAATATTTCGTATATTAGAAGCAACATAGGGAAAAGTTTAATATAATTTATACATTACTATATATTATTAGAAGCAACATAGGGAAAAGTTTAATATAATTTATACATTACTATATATTATTGTGAGAATGTACATTATTAAATTGAATTTTATTTTTCCTTTTCTAAATTTAGATTATTGGGACATCCGGAGACTCTTTCAAAACAGGACTGGAGACTTACACAACTTATATATTTGTTTAATCATGGTTTATGTGAAGTGCCAAATGTTGGAATAGATCTGGCGCGTAAGTTTGCCATGTTTGTCTAAAGTTACTATCTAAATGTAAAAATTGATATATTTAATATTTATTTTTTAGTACAACTTAAAGATTCTTTTTATCGTGCGCTGGATTATAAATTACCAAAATTGGATGATGTCCGAAATTTATTAAGTGCACTTGTCCATGAATTTGATTCAAAATTGAGATCTAATACCATACGATTAAAGTCATCATTGAATGATGTAACATTTGATGCTTGGAAAAGAGTAATAGATTTGATTGATAAATTAGAGAATACTACAAAGAATGCAGAAGCTTTACCGATATTCCATACAATGAATTTACACATGGGTCTGCAATTATTCTCCGAACCTGAAATGGCAGTGATGTCGATTAATGAACTTCAGTGCTGTTACAAAAGATTAATTAAAAATTCCAAAGAACACACTCAGACCAATGCAACTATAAAAGAAGAACCACATTGGGTTGAAGTAGTAGTGGATCTTTTGTTATCTCTTTTATCTAGGAATAATCATCTATTACGTTCATTAGTTGGCTGTGTATTTCCACATATCTGTCCATATTTGACTTCATCTGCTATCTATCAAATATTAGCTGTAAGTATTATATATATTTTCTTTTTTTCAAAATATATATGTACGTAACATATAAGTTTTTACAAATAAAACTTACCCAGCTACAAAAAAGATGTGATATCAAAAATATAAACTTACCTTTTTAAACAAAAAGCGCCAAGTACACACATAACACGTATCGTATCATTTTTAGAAATTTCAAACTCAAATTATTTTTCTTTTTTAGATATATATGTACGTAACATAAATTTTTACAAGTAAAACTTATAACTATAATAAAATTCTACAAAAACACTGTTCTACATAAAAGGTGATATAACAAAATAGTGGCATCAACTAAAAAACTCTACTCAACATCAACTCTGCAAATAAGAGCGTATTTGCAATCTGAAGATAAATCCAAAGAAATATCCAAAACTCCTAATGACACACAGCCTAGTACTTCGCAAACAGTGTCTTCATTATTTACTAGAACATTGAGTTATATGGTTATTTTACTTGTTATTATAACAAATTAGTTGTACAATGCAATAAAAAATATTTAATGCAAAAAATCTTGGCGCGGCTGCATCAAAACCTATATCGAACTAAAATTTGTTTAATACATACATGACAACATGATTTATTATATTTATATTTAATATATATTATATTAATATTCGACATATTCGAATATTATTTTGATATGCCTATTTTAATTGTATTTTATATTAAACTGTTTTTGTAAGGGAATGATTTACATTTTACTATTGTATAAGTTTTAGACATTTTAATATTAGAAGAATGTTTCATCAATGAACGGTGTGATATATGTTTCATATATTCATACGATGAATATATAAAATAAAATATATTGTTGCATTCACTCTCACACTCGCGCTTGCACTCAGGTAAATGAAAACACTCGCGTAAGAATAACAAGCTTTACTATTTACAGCGCAGCTCACTCAAGTTTTAAACAAGAATAATTCTCTGATCTACAATTCTCGCGTTTGTCTACGATGACAGCTTGCCGGAGACTCTCTGTCAGCTGTTGTTTTTTTCTTATCGATTTTCCGTCGTCCAGACAATCTTTGTTCAGTTGTCAAAATCAGATGCCTAAAGCTCACGGACAACGGACGGCGCTACAAACCTTGTGGCTCGGACACAACAATATTAATAGTTCGCGCGCATCACAAATTTATCATTAGTTTTTGGTGCGGCTGCGCCAAGATTTTTTGCATTAAATATTTTTTATTGCATTGTGCAACTAACTTGTTATAATAACAAATAAAATAACCATATAACTCAGTATTCTAGTAAATAATGAAGACACTATTTCCGAAACCGGGCTGTATGTCATTAAAAGTTTTGGATACATTTATCTTCAAATTGCAAATCGCTCTCATTTGCAGAGTTAATGTTGAGTAGAGTTTTTCAGTTGGTGCTACTATTTTGTTATATCACTTTTTTTGTAGAACAATGTTTTTTGTAGAGTTGTATTATAGTTATTATAGTTGTATTATAGTATTATAGTTAAGTTTTACTTATTTTTATGTTAAAAATTTATGTTTTTATGTTAAAAATTTATGTTACATATATATTAAAAAAAAATAGTTCGAGTTTGAAATTTCTAAAAATAACACAATACATGTTGCGCGTCTATCTGGCGATCTTTTTTACCTTTTTGTTTAAAAAGGTAAGTTTTATATTTTTGATATCACTTTTTTGTAGTTAGGTAAGTTCTATTTGTAAAAACTTATATGTTACATGCATGTTATGTACATATATATCTTTAAAAAAAAATAATTGGGTTAGTATATATGTATTTTGAAAAAAAAACAAGTTTTACTTGTAAAACTTATGTTACATATATATATCTTGAGGAAAAATGATAGTTTGTTATATATGTTATATAACGTTTTGCCATATATGTTATATATTAAAAAAAATAATTTGAATTTGGTATAGATGTATGAAAAAAAATAATTTGAGTTTGAGATTTCTAAAAACACAATTCAATTCAAACACATTTCAATAACACAATACATGTTGCGCATGCATACTTAGCTTTGGTATAATATTTGGCGCCTTCTTTTTTACCTTTTTTATGTTACGCACTAGGCCACAATATGTAATGACTACCATCATTTGATTGCTGGTCAACACGGACGATCTGATCAGCTGTGTCATAGAAAAATCAATAGCGGTCCTTAAAATTGAAAAGCGATCTCCTTAGATGACGAGTCAATAAGCATCGGTATCGATTTTTCGATAGCACAGCTGATCAAATCGTCCCAGCTGACTAGTAATCAAATGATGAACATCACTACATACCGTGTCGCATAATACTATTCTCACCTCATTATCTTCAGAGGTTTTCTCTCTCACTCTCCCATCTCTCTCTCTCACTTTCTTTCTCACATCTTCCCCATCCCTCTTATCTTCTGTTATCTCCCTCTCTGTGGCGTACACTCCCCCTCCCTCCCCTCTCTTTCTCACCTTCTCTCTCTCTCTCTCTCTATATATATATATATATATATATATATATATATATACAGGGTGTCCCATTTAACCTGACAAATCGTAATATCTGGAAAACTACATGTCGGATCAAAAAAAGTGGGTAATGAAATGTGTTCGTCTCGAAGGGGGACATCCAATGATATCAAACTCGATCTCCCACCCCACTCCCGGGGGTGAGGGTGGGGGGCAACTTTGAAATCTTAAATGGGAACCCCCATTTTTTATTGCAGATTCGGATTCTACGCCACAAAATACGTAAGTTTCGTCCGAAACTTTTTTTTTGATTCGTGATAGATGGCGCTGTAATCGCAAAAAATTAGATTTTCTGCAATTCTCCAGAAATGATGATGGGATTGAAAAATAAAAAAATACCTGTTCAATATTTTTAAAAATATTTTTAAAAAACATAACAATTATTCCCCCCCATCCGCTCAGGGTAGGGTGGGTGGTAACGTTCAAATCTCAAATGAGAACCCACATTTTTCATTGCAGAATTAGATTTTACGTGAAGTTTTTATGGAAACAATTTTTTTCATTCGTGATAGATAGCGTTGAATTTTTCAGAGAAACTACTTTTAGCGTTATCCAGGAACAACGACGAGGACGTAGTAGCTTTCTGTTCTCTTCGGGGTGCTTGTTTTAGGTGAGACCCCTCGCCTCTCACCATCGGGGTGCTTGTTTTAGGTGAGTCCCCTCGCCTCTCACCATCGGGGTGCTTGTAGTAGCAGAAAGCTACTACGTCCTCGTCGTTGTTTCTGGGTAACGCTAAAAGTGGTTTCTCGGAAAAATTCAACGCTATCTATCACGAATGAAAAAAATTGTTTCCATAAAAACTTCACGTAAAATCTAATTCTGCAATGAAAAATGTGGGTTCCCATTTGAGATTTGAACGTTACCACCCACCCTACCCCGAGGGGATGGGGGGGGAATAACTGTCATTATGTTTTTTAAAAATATTTTTAAAAATATTGAACAGGTATTTCTTTATTTTTCCAATGATCATTTCTGGAGAATTGCAGAAAATCTAATTTTTTGCGATTACAGCGCCATCTATCCACGAATCAAAAAAAAGTTTCGGACGAAACTTACGTATTTTGTGGCGTAGAATCCGAATCTGCAATAAAAAATGGGGGTTCCCATTTAAGATTTCAAAGTTGCCCCCCACCCTCACCCCCGGGAGTGGGGTGGGAGGTTGAGTTTGTTGATATCATTGGATGTCCCCCTTCGAGACGAACAAATTTCATTACCCACTTTTTTTGATCCGACATGTAGTTTTCCAGATATTACGATTTGTCAGGTTAAATGGGACACCCTGTATATACAGGGTTTGTCAAAAGTGTGGAAATCTTTAAATAATTTTTATAAAAATGAAAATTTATAAAAATATCAAAAAACGGTAAAACATGTATTTTGATTTTTCAAAGAAGCTACCCTATGACATGGATACTGATCATTCCCCATCCCCTGGTACGCGGGGATAAAAGGGAGGTTGAAAATTTTAAATTGGACTTAGGGTCGAGTGAGGGCTCATTTGAAAGGTCTTTTCATAACAAACACACCCTTAAAATTTTAAGTCGCTACGACCTCCCCCCCATTAAAAATGGCGGCCGTTCAAATTTCGAAATTTCATGCACTTAGTGTTATCCAGGATCAACCGGCTACTTAAAATTAGCTGTTCTCACTGCTACTTAAAATCAGTTGTTCTCACGGCTACTTAAAATCAGTTGTTCTCACTGCTACTTAAAATCAGTTGTTCTCACAGCTACTTAAAATCAGTTTTCTCACGGCTACTTAAAATCAGTTGTTCTCACGGCTACTTAAAATCAGTTTTCACAGATCTTAGGCAGATTAAAAATTAAACATTTAAAAAATGGCTGGCGAATTGTCGGAACGTGAAAGAATTACTATCTTCATGATGCGTGGATGGGGTGATAACGAGCGGTCGTACGCTGCTGTCGCTCAATTATTTAATGAAACGTATCCGAATCGTCGAATTAATAAGTCCACTATCTTAGAAACAATGGAACGTTTCAGAGAAACTGGTAGCGTAAACAATCGCCCTAAATCAGGGAGACCTGCCATTAACGAAGAAAAACAACTTGATGTTCTGCAGACATTTATTGAAGGTCCCAATTCTACTATTAATAGAGCCACTCAAACTCACGATATTGCTCCCAAGTCCGTTTGGAGAATTTTAAAGGAAAACAAGTTCCATCCATACAAACTACAATATGTTCAAGAATTGCAAGACGGAGATGTGGAGCGTCGTATAGGTTTCTGTGAAAGAATGATGGCACTAATAGATGTCCGGTCCATGTTCCCTTATCAAATTGTTTTTACAGACGAGGCAACTTTCACGTTAACGGGAGAAGTTAATCAAAATTTTCGTTTCTGGTCAGATGAGAATCCGAATTGGGTGCGGGAAACTCACACACAATACCCACAAAAAATAAATGTATGGTGTAGAATAATAGATAGTTACTTAATAGGACCGTTTTTTTTTTTATTTTTTTTTTTTAGAAAATCAGAACGCTGAAAGATATGACAGATTACTTGTAGATCAAATAATTCCAGCCATACGAAATATTTTTCCAAATAATTTCGAAGAAATATGGTTTCAGCATGATGGAGCTCCTGCTCATTTTGGTTTAGGGCCACGTCAAATTTTAAATGAGACTTTTCCATTACGATGGATAGGAAGAAGGAACAGAAATGAGGGAGGAGAAGGATTGGCCACCTCGGTCATCAGATCTAACTCTTCTTGATTATTATCTATGGGGATACCTGAAGAGTAAAGTTTACAAAACAAAACCTGAAAGCATCCAAGAATTGATACAGCGAATAAGGGATGAAATAGATTTGATACCTTTTGAGACGTATCGTAGAGCCATTTCTGCATTCTATCAAAGATTGGCATATTGTCAGGAAGTAAATGGCAGCCACTTTCAGCATTTACAACACACTGAATAAAATTTATTTTAAAACACGGAGTAAAAGGTTTTGAATCATTAAAGAGAGATGACAGTTTTCAATCGTCTGTTTTGCAACCTATCACGACACATTCACACTTGTTTAGCCATACGCACGTACACACATACGCACGCACACACACACACACACACACACACACACACAAGGAATCAGATTCGTGCAACGCAGTTGATCCTAGATAACACTAAATGCATGAAATTTCAAAATTTGAACGGCCGCCATTTTTAATGGGGGGGGGGGTCGTAGCGACTTAAAATTTTAAGGGTGTGTTTGTTATGAAAAGACCTTTCAAATGAGCCCCCACTCGACCCTTAGTCCAATTTAGAATTTTCAACTCCCCTTTTACCCCCGCGCAGGAGGTGGGGAATGATCGGTATCCATGTCATAGGGTAGCTTTTTTGAAAAATCAAAATACGTGTTTTACCGTTTTTGATATTTTCGTTTTTACAAAAATTATTTAAGGGTTTCCACACTTTTGACAAATCCTGTATATATAGTCTGTAAAGTAAGAGCGTGCACGGGTTAATGTGTAGAAACATTTATTTTTAATGATTTTTAAGTACATGGATTTGTTGTACTCCATGAGAAGAAAAATGCTATACCATTAATAATGAGTCCAGTCACTACCGGCATTGATAATTGCCTGGCATCTCCGAGACATACTTTCCACTAAGTTGACTGCGTATTCGTTCGGTAAAGACCTCCAAATGAGACGAATTTGTTGTGTCAGCCGTTTCAAAGTGCACACTTTTTCCTCGAAGCTTGTGCTTGAGATATGCCCACACATTTTCAATGGGATTTGCATCTGGCGACTGCGATAGCCAATCAAGTGACGATGCCAGACTGCTCTTTCCACTCGGTGCAAAGCTTGCTCCGGTGTTTTGGGTCGTTGTCTTCCTGTAAGATCCAGTCCTCGTTTTTTTTTTATGAAGCATCGTTCAGCAGTCAGCAACAAACACTTCTCATAAATTTTAAGCATTAAGGTCGGGTTCCGCTTAAACAAATTCACAATTTTTTTTCCATATTCGGCGTCATTTTGCCTATCGAGCCATGTTCTGGCAAGTCATCGACATTTTTGATCTTCTTATATTGCTGAACCCACTTAGCGACGAACGATTTTGACTTTCTCATGTATTTAGCAGCCACTGCATATGACATTTTTGGTTCTTTGAGGTGGGAACATAAGAACACAACCTCGTAGCGCGATGCGTATGCGGCACTCATGGCGGTTAACGTGTTTCTCAGGTTAAAGTTCGACGCCAACTGAATCTTTTGTAACAAAGCATTCACGACAAAGATTTCATCTATCGGCTCACAAAAAACTAGGACGATATTTGAAGCCAACTGCCATTTATGCCTTGCACGCTGTTACTTTACAGACTGTATATATATATATCGCTTGCTCACTCGCACTCGCCGCTCTTCTGCGTGCTCGTAACGTCTCTGGTATCGGAAAAGCGAGATGCACACATATCTTCACTCCTGTGCGTCTTGCGTTTCTTTCTTACTGAATCGAAATTTTCCGTGATTCGGACTTTATCTTACTATAACTCCATTCAGAGATAACGTACACAAAAAGTACAAGGAAACTTTTTTTGCTATTTTTTAAGGCCGCATCAATTGGAATTGAAAAAACTCGATCAGTTTAGCCATTGCTGAGATATGAATATCTCACCTCGTTTCATCTTGCAGTTTCACGTAATATAGGCACGGTGTGCCTCGCGATGTTCAGGCGCAACTTCGTTGCGCTTGAACTTGGCGCTAGGCAGTACCGAGCCTCTTGATTTACACAAGTAAAGTACATAATTTCGAGAACATAATATGCAAAGCAATATTAGTGTTCTTTTATATACGTAACATAAGAATTACAAAAGAAGCTCTTAATTGACTAATATATGATCTCTAATCTTTTAAAATTTCTAAAATTTAAGGATTTTTATATTCACACAAGTAGCTTTTGTGTAATTCTTTATCTAAAATTAATGAATAAATTTCTTTATATATACGTGGATGTATATGTGTGTGTTTATAAGATATAGAATTTTCCAAAGATCGCAGGACATATAAATATCTTAAAAATAAAGCATTTTAGAGAAAAATATTTTATACAAAAGTTGTAGAATTTCAAGTGATACGTTATATGGCAATATTAATATAACTTTGAATAGCGTTATCAAAGTCATATAAACATCACTTTGAAATTTTCATATGGAAATCTTTATTTTTTATTATATTATCTTTTTTTACTAATTAATTTTAACAACTTTTGTATGAAACATTTTTTTATTTACTTAATATTTTATGAGATATTTAAGGAAAATTTAGTAACTTTTTTAATATTTAGTTTACAATATCTCAGTAACTATTCATTAGAAGAAAAAGTTTTTTTACTTTATTTAGTATCAAGAATATGCTGTTACAATAAGGCTTTAACTTTTATTAACTTGATTTTGAAATTTCCAAAAATCATCAGGTTAACAAAAGTTACTATTTCCAAAAATCATCAGGTTAACAAAAGGACACTATTATAATAGCATATTGTTGAGACCAGAATAAAAAAGTTTAGTACTGCCTTTTTTCTGACAAATGATTACTGAAATATTGTAAGCTAAGTATTGAAAAAAATTACAAAGTTTTTCTTAAATATCTCCAAAAATATTAGGCAAATAAAAAATTTTCAGATAAAAATCACCTAAAATATATTAATATTGTTGTATAGTGTCACTTAAAATTCTACTACCTTTGTATGAAATATTTTTTCTATAAAATGCTTTATGTTCGAGATATTCAGCCGTTCCGCGACTTTTGGGACACTGTGTGCGTGCGTGCGGGCGTGTATGTATATGTTGATAGATTGAAGCACACACCACATACATATAGCTATACATATATAATTTCCAAATAAATCGAAATTATTGGGGACTTGAATAAGTTCTCGCTGTTTTTCCGTGAAAATGAATGCTTTATTTTAAAAAATTGGTAAAGAACGTGTCATTGGAAGTATTGTCCATCGCTAGCCATTACTTTCTCTCATCTTTCTGGCAGCATACGAATACCATGTCGAAAAAATGACTCATCTTTTGAGGTTATCCACGAATTGATCCATTTTTTGGCATCTTCAAGTGGTAATCGGAAGGAGCAATGTCCGGTGAATACGGCGGGTGGGATTTCTTCTCGGGAGGACTTCTCATTTAAGCGTTTCCAAGTAGGTTTGACCAGTTTTGCAACATGTGGTCGAGCGTTATCATGCTGCAAAATTACTTTGTCGTGTCTCTCCTCGTATTGCAGCCGTTTTTCCTTCAATGCTCGGCTCAAATGCATCAATTGTAGTCGATAGCGATTTCCCGTGATAGTTTCGTTGGATTTGAGGAGCTCATAATATACCATACCCAGCTAATCCCACCAAATACAGAGCATGAGCTTGGAACCATGGATATTCGGCTTTGCCGTCGATGTTGATGCATGGCCGGGCTTATCCCACGATTTTCTACGCTTCGGGTTATCGTAGTGTATCCACTTTTCATCACCAGTCACGATACGATACAAAAAACCTTTCCTTTTCTGCCATTGGAGCAGCTGTTCACACGTAAAAAAACACCGTTCGATGTCTCTCGGCTTCAATTCGTACGGCACCTAATTTCCTTGCTTTTGAATCATTCCTAATGCTTTTAAACGTTTGGCAACTGTTATGTGATCAACTCCTAATGATTCTGCAAGTTCATTTTGCGTCTGACATGAGTCTTCATCGAGTAATGCTTCCAATTCTTCGTCTTCAAACTTTTTCGGTGCGCCAGAGCGTTCTTTATCTTCAACATCAAAATCATTATTTTTAAAGCATCTAAACCAATCTTTGCATGTTGTTTCCGACAGAACATGGTCGCCGTAAGTCTCCACAAGAATTCTATGTGCTTCAGCTGCAGATTTTTTTTGAAAAATGTAATGCAGTAAAATTCCCCGCAAATACTCTTTTTTTGGCACGAAATTCGACATATTAAGGCTATGAAAAAATATATTGTTTACGCTTCGGCGGAATAACATATACTGTTACTTCGAGCCTAATGGTGGAGCTTCACGATGAAGTTGGTTGTAGTATTGCTCGATGCAAAAAGGCTAAGATAACATCATCTGTCGAGAAACAGCGAGAACTTATTCAAGTCCCCAATATTAAAATTTGTAGTGTTTATTATTACAATATAAATTATCAAATATTTTTATATCATTACGTATATTTTTCTAGGTATTAGATATAAGAAATAACGATAATGCGCTTACCATAGAAGAAAGTGATGAAAGTTCAGGTACAGAAGAAAATGAATCAGACGATGATGATATAGAGAATGCTTCAAATAGTGAAGTTTCATCAAAAGACAGTGAATCTGGATCTGATAATGAAATTTTAGATGAAGATGAAACATTGACAGATAGATTGCGAATAGCAGTGCATCGAGCTTTAGGTGATGCTGCAACTAAAACTGACGAAGAAGATATTGATGTAGATCAAATAAATGATGACGAAGCCAAGCGATTAGATAAATCTTTAGCAACAGCGTTCAAAATTTTACGAGTAAACCGTCAAGGTCGTAATAAAAAGCAAGAAAAAACGGATCAAGCTTTGACACATTTTAGAGTTCGTGTCATAGATTTGTTGGATATATATTTAGAGACTTATCCATCTATGGCAATTATTGTGGACATCATTGTGCCACTTTTTTCTTTACTAGAATTTTGTATAAAAGATCCACATCAAAAACCTCTTGAGCATAGAATTCGTGCTTGCTTGAGAAAGTTAGCAGCGGTGAAAAAGTTTAACGATATAACAAATGTTGATGATAATTTATTAACGACAGTGTTAAAGGTAATTAGTTTTATTAATTAAATATAAATTCTGTAAATAACATGGTATCTTTTAAAGGTTTTAATCGAAAAAGGAGAACGTTCCGCTTCAATCTATCAAGAAATAAGTGATAAATTAGCAGAGTGTTGTACTTTTCTTGTAAGATATATGCAACAAACCAATTTATCAATGGAAGGTGTTATTAACATTTATGACGAGAACTTAACTGCATTCTTTAAAAAAAGGGATTGCGTCCTTTCATTTATGTTATTTAAAGGTGTATTACAGCTTTGTTGGAAAGGTAACTGGCAACTTGCATCTGCATTGGTATGTACTAAAACAAATAATTTATGAAATTGATATATGAATATTTGGATGAAATATCTGGACAATCTACAAGGAATACATAGCAGTAAGGGGAAAATAATGACATTTCAATTATTAATTTCATCGTGGTTTCTTCGAATTCAACTTTATATACATCGTGTTATACTTCATTACATTATAATTAGAGTTATCATATATTATACAGGGAGATCCGAAATTCCCGCATTCGGAGTACAGGACATGACAACAATACCGGGATTTTACAACTCACAAAGCATATTACCATTTACATTTGCTTTTATTTTTAGATAATATATTGCAATCAAACAATTTTTTATTCATTTATTACGTATGAAATAAAGGCAGTACTTATTTTATTAACTTTTCATTATTTAAACAATACAATATGGAAGAAGGTCAAATCCCAGTATTGTTCATAGTTAATTTTTATTATTTAAGATTGTCTTAAGTACAGCCATAAGCTTTGTTGTAAACTAATCACAACAAAGCCATATAAGCGTCTTAAAAAACATTATTTATGAATACTAATCACTGACTAGCTACACGCGAGTGAGGCACGCGCGCCGGCCCTGAGCGCTACATAGACTAGAGCGCTACATAGAGAGAGACTTATTCATTAATTTTGATACGCTCTCCTGTAAAAACTACTTGTCGGACGCAATTTTGCTAAAGGAAAAAATTGTTTATTTTAGCATAAAATATGTCTTGTATTTCGAATGCGGAAATTTCGCATTACTCTATATATCGGGTCTTCCAAAAGTGGAAACCCCTTAATATTTTGAAAAATATACATTTTTGAAAAAACTGTTCAATACAAAAGTTATAGGGTTTTTAGTGACGCATTACATAGTAAAATTAGTATGATTTTGAACTACATTGGTCAGATTAAGGTCACTTACAATTTTTTAAATAGCAATCCCTACTTTTTATTGCATATTTTTAAAGCGTACTTGGAGAGCTTTCCAAAACACTATAAAATATTCTTTCATTAAGAACATTTTAAATAATGAAGCTTGGAAGTTATAGTCCAGCCGGTATTAGAATTACACAAGGTGTACGCGGATGTTGCCCGGGCGGATTTATACTTCTATTATGGTTTTGTGTGTGTGTGTGTGTGTGTGTGTGTGTGTGTGTGTGTGTGTGTGTGTGTGTGTGTGTGTGTGTGTGCGTGCGTGCGTGCGTGCGTGCGTGCGTGCGTGCGTGCGTGCGTGCGTGCGTGCGTGCGTGCGTGCGTGTGTGCGTGCATGCGTGTGTGCGTGCGTGCATGCGCGCGCGCGCGTGTGCGGGTGCGTGCGTGTACGCGTGTGGGTGCAGGTGCGGGTGTGTGTGTGTGTGTGCGTGTGCGTGTGCGTGTGCGTGTGCGTGTGCGTCTGATTACAATGAATAGTCAGAAAGAATAATAAAACAGATTTTAATATTATGCGACATTATATTACTTGCCGCCACATTATCCGGTGTGACAACATATGACACTGCTGTATTAGGCGCTTGACGGCTAGCGAACGCCCGGAGTGGGGAGGCCAGCGGTAAGCGACGCAAACTTCTGTAGTCTGATAAGTTACGGAACAGATAGGGACTGTGAACGACGCCAGCGAGTACCTGGGACTCAGCGTGTAAATTGGACTTGTCACCATATCTCCTCTTTTTAATGAGTAAAACTTCCAAACTGTTCCGAAGCTATAACTGTCCAAACCAAAAACGTACTAATAAATTAAAAATTATACGTTTAATGGCTAAAAATGGCTGGCAAATTGTCGGAACGTGAAAGAGTCACTATCCTAAAGATGCATGGATGGGGTAATAATGAGCGGTCGTACGCTGCTGTTGTTTGATTATTTAATGACATATATTCGAATTGTCGAATTTCTAAATCCATCGTTTTAAAAACAATACAACGTTTTAAAGAAATTGATAGCGTAAGAAATCGCGCTAAAACAGGTATACCATCGTCTGCAACTAACGAAGAGGAATAGCTTGATGTTCTGCAAACATTTATTGAAAATCCCAACATGTTTATTAATAGACCAGCTCAAACTCATGACATTGCTTCCACATCCGTATACAGAATTTTAAAGAAAAACAAATTTCACCCATACAAACTGCAATACGTTCAAGAATTGCAAAATTGAGATGAGGAGCGTCGTTTACGCTTCTGTGAAAAAATGATAGAACTAATAGATGTCCGATCCAACTTCCCTTATCAAATTGTCTTCACAGATGAGGCAACCTTTACTTTGATGGGAAATGTTAATAATCAAAATTCGCTTCTGGTCAGATGAAAATCTGGATTGGGTGCGGGAATGTCATACGCAATACCCACAAAAAGTAAACGTATGATGCGGTATGATAGATCGCTATTTAAGTGGACCTTTCTTTCTTGAAGGAAATCTTAATGCTCAAAGATATGAAAGATTACTTTTAGATCAAATAATTCCAATTACTTATAAGCTACTTATACTTACATATTTATGAGCTAAAAAATACAAAATATTTTTCCAAATAATTTCAAATATGGTTTCAGCAGAATGGAGCTCCTCCTCATTTTGATGTAGGATCATGTAGAATTTTAAATGAAGTTTTCCCACGAAGGTGAATAGGAAAAAGGAATTGGAAAGAGGGAGGAGAGGATTGACCGCTTCGGTCACCAGATTAGACTCCGCTTGATTATTAATTTTGGGGCTACATAAAGAGTAAGATTTACAAAACAAAATATTCAAAAATTGGGGCAGCGAATAAAGAACGAAGCGAATTTGATACCTATTGAAACTAATCGCAAAGCCATTTCTACGTTTTACCAAAGATTAGCATATCAGGAGGTCAATGGGAGCCACTTTCAGCATTTACTTTAAGACGCTGAAGGGCACATGTGGAGCAAAGGGTTTTGAGTCATTAAAGAGAAGACGTGACAGTCGTCAGTCCTTATCTGTTCCGTACCTTATCATCATCTATCCAATCATCTATGCATCCATCAATGCACATGCACAAGCACACACACACACACACATACACCTACCCATACCATAAAAGAGATGTAAATCCAATCGGGCAACCTCCGCGTAGTACACTTTGGGTAATGCTAATGCCGGCGATACTGTAACTTTGAAGCTTCATTACTCAAAATGTTCGTAATGAAAAGATATTTTATTATAGTGTTTCGGAAAGCTCTCGAGGTACGCTCTATGCAATAAAAAGTAGATGCTGCTGCTTAAAAAATTGCTGTTTAAAAAATTGAAAGTGACCTTAATCTAACCTTGACACTGTAGTTCAAAATCATACTAATTTTACTACGTAATGCGTCACTAAAAACGCTATAATTTTTATATAAAACGTATTTTTCAAAATATTAAAGGGTTTCCACACTTTTGGAAGACCCGGTATAAAGCTAAAAATCGTACAAATAATTTTTATAATAATTTATAATTTTTATAATAATAAGACGTGTATAATGCTATATATACAGTTGCAGTCATAAAAGTTAACATTTTTTTTTATACACTTTAGAATGTAGCCGATATTTAGTGGAATTATTTTTGAAAGATTGTTAAAAACAATAAGTTCTTATATTGATTTGGTTTTTATACTGTGTCGAGAGTGATTTATGCAATAAACTGAGAAAGTTATGTACAGCATATCTAAAACTAATATATGATACGACATGGTGTGAAGTTAACTTTACCGAAAATTGTTATTTGTAAAATGGTTTAAATATATATTTTTTATGACATTATAAGTGCATGAAATGGTCAAGATGATGAATCTTTAATCAGAAGTCTGCATAATAATCTGTTATAATAGAAACCATTGATGAATTAATACATGAAACATCTGATGTCACATAATACTAAGAAAGGATTCAAGAAAAATATAAGTATTTTTATTATATTCTTATCTATCAGATAAAAATATAATAAATGGCCAATTTATACCATGTATTATCGTTCTTATTTAGCTTTTCTCATAGTTGATTATTATAGACGCCAGCTCATAAGTAGTAATTTGCAGGCATAATCATTTGATATATTCCTAAATTTATCAAAAAAAAAAATGTAAAACAGTATCTTGTTTTAATTGACAATATATATTACATCCAGATACTTATACATTGATACTTATATATCGATAATTTATAATATTTTCATATACATATTTTTATATAAGTTATATGTTTTGTACTATATTTTTTGTAATTTCTTAGGTGGATTTTGCTTTTGATAGCAGTATTCGGTACTTTCGTAGAAGTCAGGCACTTGAATTATTATTAATTTTCTATAATAATAATCGATTGCACACACAACGCATGAATACAAAATGTGAAGATGTAAGAATAAAATTAGAAACGAAGCTTTATAATAATATTATATACATGTTCAAAGAGTTTTGTAATCTATTTGCAAGTGATAATAGTCAATTTTTGTCATGTAACGTTACTGAAGTTCAGAAAAAAGTACAACAGAAATTTATTGGTCTTCTTTTGATATTATTACGTGTTGTTTATACATCTCATGTACCGCAAGTATGGGATTGGCAAAATATTAAAAGCATATTAGTAATATATAAAGGGCAAAATATTCTTTCCAAGGATGTAAAAAGTGCATACAAAAAACTTGAAATAAAAATAGGAGCATCAAATAATATGTAAGTATAACAGAAATATAATTTGATTTTGAAAGGTTATTGATAATAATGTTAACTTGAAATTGTTTTATGTTATTCAATATGATTTTTATATTATCAGGTCATCAGTAAAAGACAATACTGAATTGAATTATTCAATCAATACTGCTATATATGATAATGATAAACAGAACAATGAAAGTTTGCAAGAAATAAAAGCAAATAGTTCAAAAGAAGAAGCTATATCTCTTAGTAATAATATGCAAAAGAAGAAAAAAAATAAAAATGAAGGAAATGAACAAATATTGAAGAGAGAAGCCTGTGAATCACATACAAACTTTAAATCTAAAGATTTAAAGTTACTTAATTTTAGCAAAATGAATTTAACAGAAAACCAAGTGGGCATAACAGAAATTCTCCATAATAGAGATTTATATGATAACAATAAGATAACATGTATAAAATCTCATAAAAGAAGTTATAAACAAGCAGTGGGAAGTGACTGTGAAGTTAAAAGAAAAAAATAAAATAATAATTGTGCCTGATGTAATTTTTAAATTTAAAAATAATAATAAACGAACATGAAAATTGAATTAAATTTTTAAAATATGTTTATTCACTTATATTTCGATGGAAAAATTGTTAAAAATAATATATACATAGGGTAATTCTAAAACAATTCGTATATTTACTTATGCATAGATAGAATTCATTAAATAGAACGGAAAAATTCTATATAATCTTCTATAAAATTCTATATTATAGTAAGCAAGTATAATAGCTATAGACATATTAATTAAAGAAAATTAACGGTTAAACACAAGTGAAATATTTTTTTACGCAGTTTTATCTAAGATATAAACCTGTTGACAATATCTTGGCAACGCACAGTGGGCCAGAAATCCACTGTGGTTGACTAAAATTCAATTTCTTGAACTTACATGAAATCAAATGTATGTGATATTATATATTTATATATATTTTCCTACACTAAATGCTGAAATATTGTTTCTTTATGTTAATTGATATTGCTTGTGGAAGACGTGAATGTAAAAAACTATGTTTGCAAATTTAAACGTCCTATGACTTTCATACACCCTTTGCTATGAATTTTACCTTATCAGATGTTATAACAGTATATTTATATTTTTAAATTGAACAAATGAAGTTATTTTTATCAATACATGAAGTTTTTCATGGAACATTGACTTTGTTTCGTCTGATAAAACTAATAGTTTCGAATCTTGTAATACACTTGTTCAATTTCAAATAAAACCTCTGAGCTTCCACTCTGAAATCAATCATATGATATGTCAAATTGCTCGTAAGGATGTACACTATAACTTAAATATGCGCCTTTTGATTACAATGCCAGAGAGAAATCATATTTGATACTATAAATTGCACTTACTTGAATATATGATAAGATAGAAAATCCTAAAAACTATCGAGAATTCGAGATTTTGTCAAATTTGTTTCCAAACTGATAAGAATAGTGTTTGAAATTGCCGATTTTGAATTCATTCATCGCAGTGCGATGTCACATCTCAAGATATCTTAAGCTCATATTCTCATTTATGTGAGTCTTATAGGGAGAGGATTACAATAGGACATTTACAACTAACTAATTCATGTTTTATGTTTCATCATTTCTTTTGTATTAGATATATACGTTATATGTCAATTTACCATTTTTTACTTTATTCTAAGAAAATGAAATCCAGCAAACGAGAGATTCTTGAGTTGCTTTCAAAATCATCAGACATAGATGTAGTCCTCACATACATTTATTATTGTTTACATTGTTTATAGACAATTTTGCAAATTAATAATAATAATAATACTGAATCTCCTTTGTTGAATTTAAAAATTCTTACTTCAGCAAAGTCAAAATAATCGTCCGCCATATTGGATTAACTATTATTTGAATTTTGCATTATTTTATACAGATTCGTAATTAGCATCTTCAAAAAACCCTATATGCTACGTTTACAGTATATCCAATAATTTTTTTTAAATCTCGCCATATTGGATTCGGCATTTAGAATTTTGAAATTCTGATTTTAAAATTGAAATCAGCAACCTAACAAACCATATATAAGCATAATTACAATTTATATTTGTACATTTCAATGGGTTTACCGACTTTTGGCCACGAAACCGAGTCTCCTGGCGCACGGTACAACGGCAGGCGATATGTAATGCTAGGCAGTATTATAACACCTTTACTGTGTATGGACGTATCGGTGCGGCGGTATGTGCGAACACAAACTTATATAGAATGTCAAGATTCAAGGCAAATTTGTTGTATTATCGTATGCAAATTAGGTCCAATTGAACAGAAAATTCCTTTATAATTTCGTAAACCACAAAATTTTAAGATATTAACTTTCTGGTTTGGTGCTTTTGGCAACGTGTCTTCAGTCCACCTCAGGGTCTAACTGACTATTTGGTACACTAAATCTTTTCCTCAGCTTCCTCTAGAAAATAAATGGAAATAGAATAGAATAAAACAAATAGAATTCCTTTAAAACTTTTCATGATCCCAATTTATTTTGCATCCCAATATTCTTTCTATATTAGTAAATTAACTTTAGTATATTTTACACCCGTATTCATAGTCAGACCTTATATTTAAGGCTTCCTTAAGTTTATCTTCAGATGGTCTGTAGCCAATAAAATAATCCGTGCAGCATCTAAAGATGGATATAAGGAAGCCTCAAATATAAGGCCTGACTATGCATACGCGTATTAGTCGTCTTTCTGTGTATTTTTACTTAATGTCGAGTGTAAAGCCCTAAACATAATGCCAGGCAACAGGCAATAAGAATAAAAATAGACACAATCGCCTATTACAAGAATAATCTATTGTGATTGGTCTATTTTTATTCTTATTGCCTGTTGCCTGGCATTGTGTTTAGGGCTTAATTCTTTTCTTCGACGTGTTCATTTTTTTACAAGAAGAAATGAAAATGTTTTTCGCCGATTTTAATGAGCTTGCCCAGATAGTACCCAACAAACATAGAATATAACTATTATATAACAGGAATAACATGTAACATAACATATGTTATACTCTAATTATATTGAGGTTATATAATTTAGTTTCATAGATGTACTATAATTGTGTTATATATCTGTTACACTGTTTTGTTCTAAGCTAGAGATAACATTATAATAATGATATAACAGTAATGTAACACGTAATATAACAGTAATTACGTTTATATTGCATTGATACTATACAACACAACTATTCATGCAATCCATTAAAAGCTGCAAATACTTTCTATTATAAATAAGGGTGCGTTCCGATAGAGAAAGAAATAGCAAAGCGGAACAGTAACAAATAGAAGAAATGACGGAAAGCTAATCAATCAGAAATTCCGTTCCGCTTTTCTGTAGATGCTTTATTTTGTAGTTCTATGTTTTTATGTATTTTTAATACCTTCATCGCACTTAAGTAGACCATATTGCCTATTTATATTGACGTTTATAATGCACGTTTATATGCATACTAATATGTATATCCCTACAAAAAAATACATCGAATCCACATGGAACGCATTCGTTGCATTCAGGTGGAATCCACAAAACCACATGGATTTCACGTGGACACAACGTTCCTATTTTCGTGGAGATATCCGCACATATACTATTTAAACATTTAAGAACGCTTGCATATTATACAAAACTCACATAGAGAAAAATTTCTTTAGGTTTAATATTCTTACTTGTTCGATTTTGAGTTGTTTTATTAAAATATATCTTTACAATATTATTTTTAGAAATAAAAACTCTATTTCATTAAAAAAACCATGTTGATAAAAAGCAGGATTTGAGATAATATTTTTCAAAAGTTTTTTTAGATTTAGTAATTAAAATTTTTTATTTAAACTTCCTTGAATTTGTTTCAAACTATTTCTTTTATAGGTTAACCATTATAATACTCCATTATTACTAATTTTGAAACATATACTCGTCGATATTCGTCGCTATCGAATGTTGCGTTTTAATTTTTGACATGAAAGGTTATAATATTCTGTAAATATTATAAGCGTACATTATATAAGCACAAGTCACAAGAACATCGTTGGAGTCATTGGGATAACTGCGTGCCATTCGATTGTCAGGTTAAGCAAAGCCTAGCGTGATCAACACATGGAGGGAATGATCGCTTGGAATCGAAGCTATCGACGGACGCAAGACGCGAGAAAATTAGGAGTTTTTTACATAACAATAATATTACAGTTATATAACAGCTATATAACATTTTAATAACATGTGATATTTCTGTTATATAACTGCAACTTTTTATGAGTGGGAAATTACAACTAACATGTATATTGCTTGTAACGTTATATTACGTGTTACATTTCGTTACATTACGACAATGTAACTGTTACGTAACTGTGTTACGTAACAGTTACATTGTCGTTACGTAACTGTGTTACGTAACAGTTACATTGTTGTACGTTTACTGGGATTATTTCAATATCAAACAAACATTAAACCATCACGAAAACTATATCGAATGACATCATCCTGATTTGTCTTAAAATGACTTTTTTTTGATATCATAATTATATTATTATGATTTTTTGTTCTGGGCAAGGAGAACAAAAGGTCACGATAACATCAAAATTATGTCATTTTGACTTTAAATAGTCAATTTTTCATCAAGACTCTATGGCTGCGTTCGCTTTGGATGCTTACACGCTTTAAACGCTTATAATCATTACTTACAGCGTCCGCTTTGGCGTTGTAAACGCTTATAAGTCGACCAACGACGTCATCGTGACGTCATAACTTTTGCTCACAGTCGCTTATTTTATCGAGGTAAGGCAACGAGAGCGTGAGCGCTAATAAGCACATTTTGACCAAAGTGAACGTAAAACGAAGCAAAATATGGCATCCGACAAAATTCGTATAAATCTTAAAGATGCTGAAACTGGACAGATTTACGCAATAACAGTAACTAAAGAAGCAACAAGGATTGAAAATGGTAAGTTTCTTTTTTTATTGTTATTATTATCAATACATATATATTTTTTAACCGGTCATATTTTGTTTATTCATTAAGTTAGGCTAGAAGAATGCAATTAACAATTTATTATTATTTATAAATAAAATAAAACAATTTTTCTTTTTATTTAAAAATTTAGATTCTACCACCAAATAAATAAGTTATTAACTCTTAACTAGAGAAATGGGATTTGGTGGATTTCTTTCTTTTTCTTTTAATTGTATTCTTATAATATTGTTGTAACCGCGTCCTAATTATTCCACCTTACGTTGCAGTTAGTTAGTAAGCGTGCAATACACAATTCGATTAAAATGCTGACGCCATAAAGTATTTGTAATACATAAACTTGCAACTCTGCTGACTGAGATCACGAAAGTAGATTATTGTGTCAGTCATACCAAAGGCACTAGGATATACCAGGGCTGCGTTCGAAAATACTCTTGGGTGAGTGAAGGGAGAAATAGTGGAAATATAGTAAGGTGATATCCTGTACACTACATTTTCGAACGACTAGAGAGAGTGACACAGTGGCGGCAATTTTTAAACATGATATTGCGGATACATTACCCAGGTAGCAGACTGACGTCAAATGACGTACTAATGATGTCTTAATGATGTTAGCTAACGTCATTAAGACGTCATTAGTACGTCTTTTGACGTCAGTCTGCTACCAGGGTAAAGAGCACACTATTAGCGCTGTATGAAATTGAAAAAGAAAGTAAAGCAATAAAAATGTCAACATAACGTCGCGCTACAATTATATTATTAATGAAAATTATTGCAGACGCTGCACATACTATAAAAGAAAGAAATAGCGAAGATGACAGTGAAGATGAGAGTTTATTTTTTGCTTATCAAGTATATGTTAAACGTAAAAAAAGGAACAAAGTAATAAAACTTAATGGTTATATTAATAATGTTGTGCCTCATTATAATACGCAAGTTTCGTCAACGACAGTTTCGTCAACATTTTCGCCTTACATCTACTGCGTTTGAAATTATATTGAATAAATTAGCACCTATATGTGTTATGTAATATTAGAAACAAAGGTAGGCCTGTCATTCCACCTCGTACACAATTATTAGCTGTTCTGTGGTTATTGGCTACACCAGATTCATATCGGTAAGATTATACTTTATGTTATAGTCGTAATAATAGAGATTGTGTAAATTAATATAATAAACATGATATGTTATATACAAGTATATTATATTTCAGAAATATCTTTTTTTCAGATCAGTGGGAGAGAAATTTGCTCTTGGAAAATCATCTCCTCATGATTCTCTTAAAAGAATTGTAAATGCAATAAATAATGTAGCAAAGTCTTTGATAGTATGGCCAACAAGGGATGAAATACACGCTATAAAAAACCAATTTGCACAACTTGGTTTTTTACCTGATGTTATTGGATGATTAATGGAACACATATTCCAATAAAAGCTCCAAACGTAAGAAAGCTACTTTATAATAATTTGTTATAACATTTATATTATACTTAATATATTTTAGGATAATTCATCATCATATATAACTAGAAAAAAGGAATTTGCTATTACATTACAAGCTGTTTGTGATGCAAGACTTATATTTAGAAATTGTTTTGTGGGATTTGCTGGATCTGTTCATGATAAAAGAATATTTACAAGGTCTTATTTATGGTCAGAAATACATCGTAATCAAGAAAAATATTTCCCTCATAATCAGTATATAATTGGTGATAAAGCATATCCAGTTTTACAATGGTGTATTCCACCTTATATTGATCGTGGAAATCTGACAGTGGTAGTATTTTTTTATAACTATTTATTTTATAGTAAATATGCCAAAATATTTATTCTATTTGAAATGCATTTATTTGTAGATTCAAATATCATTTAACAAAAATGTATCAAAGATGAGACAAATTATAGAACGTGCGTTTGCATTATTAAAAGGTAGATTTCGCCTGTTAAAATATTTAGATATGTCTTTAATTGAATTCCCATACAGCACAGCACCGTTGCAACAACATTGCAGCAACGTTGTTTTGCAAGATTGCAACATTGCAGAAACGATGCGAAATGTTGCTACAATGTTGCTGCAATCTTGCAGCAAAGGTAAAATGTCCGCTTGCAGCAATATTGCAATGAAATATTGCAGTAACATTGCAGTGTAACATTGCAGCAACATTTGTAATATAATTTGTATGCAATAATGCTTTATATATATATATATGTATGTATGTATATACAGGGTGTCCCATTTTAAAGGACCCATTCAAATATCTCAAAAACACTGCGTTAAATCGAAAAATGTTTCAGACAAAAGTTGCTTGGCTTGAAGGGGGACATAAAACAGCGATAGCATTTTGTTTATAGATGGCGCCACCTTCGAGATATTCACTAATTATCAATTTTCTTAAATAGAAATCCCAATCTTTTATTATATCATCTTTTTCGACCAACTAATTTGAACAACTTTCGTCTGAAACATTTTTTTATTTGCTTAATATTTTTTTAGATATTTGAGAAAAACTTGGTAACTTTTCCAACATTTAACTTACGATATCTCGCTAACTATTCGTCGAAAGAAAAAATAGTATTACTTTTTTATTTTATTTACTATCAAGAACATATTACTATAATAGTGCCTTAACTTTTGTTAACTTATCGACCTTTGGAAATTCCAAAATTATTAAATTAACAAAAGTTAGGGTACTATTATAGTAATATATTCTTGATAGTAAATAAAGTAAAAAAGTCTAATACTATTTCTTATTTCGATGAATAATTAGCGAGATATCGTAAGTTAAATGTTGAAAAAGTTACCAAGTTTTCCTTAAATATCTCAAAAAATATTAAACAAATAAAAAAATATTTCAAACAAAAGTTGTTCAAATTAGTTGATAGAAAAAGATGATATAATAAGAGATTGGATTTCTGTTTAAGAAAATTGATGATCAGTGAATATCTCGAAAGTGACGTCATCTATAAACAAAAATGCTGTCACTATCTTATGTACTCTTTCAAGCCAAACAACTTTTGTCTGAACCATTTTTCGATTTAATGCAGTGTTTTTGAGATATTTGAATACGTCCTTTAAAATGAGACACTGTATATATTGAGAATTTCCTGGAAAGTTTTTATTTAATGACGGCAGAAGCGAAAGATCGTATTCCAAAAATTGTTTTTGTTATATAGATATATTCTAGAGGATATTTGTGATAGATCTAACAAATTTATAAAATATTCTGGACACACTTTCCTCTTGTTGTGATAATCAATAATTTTCCATAAAAATTCTGTAACAATAATCATGAGAGATAATATGTTCAACTCAACATTTGTATAAATTTCACTAATTATTGACAGTGAATGATTATCATACAGCAAAAGAAAAGTGTTCAGAACATTTTACAAATTTATAAAATCAATCATAAGTGTCGTTTTATGGAAATCTCTTATTTTAACGTACATGAAAAAAAAAGATTAATATACCATTATTTTCATTTCTGACATCAAACAAGAATAGTCACAGAAAGTTTCCAAGATCTGTAATATTTCAAAGAATAAAATGATATCTTAAAAGGATGCCGTTTTATTGACTCAATAGACGTCAATAAGATGTCACCTTACTATTTGGAATAATACAGGTCTTAAAGACTTGCAGTAACTATTCTTGAATTAATAAGACGTATAAGTTTGGGATATGAAACTAAATCATTGTAAAACCAAATCGTAGTAATTAAATGTAATTGGTGATTACATATGAGAATTAGAGCAATGTACAAAGTGTCCCATAATTGTAACATACCAACTTCATAGGGGCGTAGAGCTAAGCGAGAGAAACGAAAACATCCTCTTCCATTTAGCGATATCTCGTATTTTTTAATAATTTTTTTAATAATTTTTTAATAATAACCGCAATTTGAAATGTTGCTACAACATTGCAGATATATAATAATGCAAAATATTGTTTTTGCAATGCCTCTGCAATATTGCGCTGCAATGTGCAATGCTGCAACATTGCAGCAATATTGCTGCAATTGTCTGTGCTGTATGGGTTGATATTGATGTTATTATAAGTTGTTGTGTTCTGCATAATGTGTGCCTTCAAGGAGCTGATGAGAATAATAGAGATTTCATTGAGGAGGGAGCAAATGTGGAAGTTGTAGAAAATATTGAAATCAATATTGGTGATGCAAGGAATAATCCAGCTGGTTTAGCAAAACGTGATTACCTATGTCATCTTATAGCATAATAGTTGTGTTTAATTTTCTTACTACATTTTAAGTATCTTTTATAGTCAAATACGCACATAATTATTAGCCAATAATAAATCTGTAATTTTTCTGTGCTATTTCCTTTATTTTATTTCCAAGTTTTACACAAGTATTGTGTATCAAATAGGTATTTAAAAATAAAATTATTTCGAACAACGTATTGCTTCTTAATATAAATATAAAGCACAATATAACATAGATATATGAAAATTATCACTTTTAAATGTAGTAGTGCGATTATAATAATCAGTCTTCATATATGTTATGGACTGCAATTATAGATACTCATTCTTTATAATATTACAATATTTATAATAATTTATAATAAACTTTATAATATTACAATATTGTTCATATTTAAACTAAAACTAAAAAGAAAGTTCTTGCCGTGACTCAACATAACAGTGAAAACTAATATATACTAAAGAAATGTAATCAACTTAATATAATAATTAATGTAACAAAATACTTGTTATTTTTATTAAATGTGATAATGCTATTATAATAATTAGTCTTTATATTATAGACTATATTGCAATCATAGATATAATTCCCTTACGGAAAAAAATATTCAAATAGTTAAAGTATTTATACTCAGTTCGAATTTACTCTCAAATATGGGTATATACAAATTTGAGTATACATACCCATATTTGAGAATAAATTCGAACAACTGAATGTAAACACTCAAACTTTGAATATTTTTTTCCATAAAGATTACTCTATCACATAGCAACCGTTATTTATAAGTTATGAAATATAACGAAAAATAAAGTTTTTTGTGTTCCTCAACATTACCAAATAATTGTAATTCTCACAAATGAACTAAATTAACTTAACCAATATTTATATCCAATAAAACAAAATATATTATTTTTATCACATATCTATAACCAATGAAACAAAATTTGTTATTTTTATTATATATGATATAATACATTTTTATTTATTTTCGTGTATTATCACTCTTGCTTTACATTTTCTTATAATCTCTCTATTAGTTTTAACATTACTTCTTTCATACTATTTATCGCTTTTTCTTATTGATTTAATATTTCTTTGTGTCTTCTTTCACGTGCTTCTCTTCCCTTAGCATCAGCTCTTGAAGCTGTACACCATTCTTTAAACTCCCTTTCAATGTGTGGTATTTTTCTTTTATTCGATTTTTTATTACGAATATAATCAGGATCATCATACGAAAAATTCGCATACGAAGAACTATTTTCTGAATCCATGCAATTTGAAGCACTATTTATTAACAAAGGTCGTTTTCTTAAATTAGACGTAATTAAAATAGGTGTTATGTTCGGCTTGTCATTAAGAATATCATCTATTTCATCATAAAATTTACAAGTTTTTGGATTATTTCCAGAAGTATTAATTATGATCTTTAACTTTAACGTATGTTTTACGTAAATCTTTCCACTTGTTTTCACATTGTATAGCACTATATAATGCCAATTACTATTCGCGTCCCACATTTTTGCAGATATGTCGTTCCATATTGTATCATTTCGAAATTTTGAGCTTTTAAATTTTGTTTCGTGTTCTTTCCACAAAGAAATTAACATTTTTGTGGCATTATCATCTTTCCATGAAGCAATTTCTAAAATATGATATAAAATATAAGAAAAATATAATATGTTATAAGATTTAAAAGTATCCTTTTATATTATTACCTTTAATGCAGCTATTTCTTTTAAACATTGTTATTTTTAGAATTTTTTTGTAATGTATTATATACTATAGAATTTTCTCCTGTTGATTCTAGTTCTTCTACATTATTAAAGTTTTCTTTCTGATTCTTTAATATTTGGTCTTCAACAGGTAGATTAAAAAATCGTAGTATATTTATTTCAGCGGGTACATAGAGCAATTTTTGATCTAAAAAGGCATTTGATATAATAAAGGCATATGAAAATATCTTAAAATATATTAGTTGTAATTAATCTAAAACCTTTATTTACTTACTTTTTGTATCCCATACAACTAGATTGTTGTTATCTTTTAATATTTCTCCATTTTCTAATGTACATAAAATATGTTGTCCTTTACGTAGCGTCGCCATTTTTATTTTTGACGTGATATGCCTACAATCCACCCAATCCACCCTACAAAGAAGTAAGGTGGAAATATCACCCGATTGAATGTTTTCTAAGGCCCAGTTCCACAAAATCAAGTTTAAACCGTGATTATCTGAACTGACGTTAATTTAACGGCATGGTTAAACTTATATCGCGTTCCACATCATGTTTTTAACTGTAGTTTACTTAAACCTATAGTCTGTATGAAGAAACTGTCAAAGACTTCTCTTTCTTTTCAAACGTAGAGTATGATTGGTCGTTGCTAATAGTGAAAAGAGGGAAAATTGAAATAAGTTGGATACTATGACATCTAGTAGAGAACAATATATCTGTTTCGTATGAAGTAAACACTAACCAACATTAACATTTGCTGTATTTGTGTATAAGTATTAATTTATTAAAAGGTAGAAGTCCAGTGTTAATAATAATCAATTAGTTTATATTATTGATTTGATTGCATTTATCATATAATAATTGACTTTTATATATAGTTTTATACTCTGTTTTAGAATATAATCTATCGAAGTAAAAAACCCAATATTTTAAATTAAATTTATATACTTACTGTTCTGTTTTATGAGAAATTTCATGTTCGATTTCTGCTAGAATAACAGATTCTTTTGATAATCTAAATCGTGCATGAAACTCGACATTATCAAATTCTTCCAAATATGATGGTCGTCTTATTCTTATATTTCTTGTTCGTCGATAAATTAGGATTTCAAAATCTTCATCTTTAGATGAAGATAATATGTATTCTAAAGCCATATATCTTTGGTGTTCAAACGTTCAAACGTTCAAAATATTTGTCAACTGAACTCCAAAACCGGGATAGTCATAAATTTTTTTCTCAAATTGATGGTACTGCAGTGTTAAACTTTGTTTAAATTCATTAAACGCCTAAAGTTTTGGATTTAACTTTAACTGTGAGAAATCAACGTTAACCATGGTTTAAGGCAGTTGTGGAACGCAATTTTTCGTCTAAACTAGGGTTAACGAGTTAAACTTCGTTTACAGTAAGTTGTGAAACCGGGCTTAAACGCCCAAAGTTTTGGGTTTAATTTTAACTATGAGAAATTTAATTTTAACTATGAGAAATTAAACTTCGTTTACAGTAAAGGTCATCACACGTAGAAAATTTTTAACTGTTATCGTAATTCCATAAGAAAATTGACCAATCTTAATCGCCTGTTATATTGTAACAAAAGAAAGGATCGACTGTGATTGGCCAATACGGAAATTACGATTATGGTTAGGTTAATGATTTTCACGTGCAAAGGCCTTAAGTTGTGGAACCGGACCTAAATGTTTCCGAACGCTTCATCTGGTGACATAAGAGAGGTCCCCGAATATTTCCGAACGCGGAACGAGAGAGAGTGCACCCGGGTGACATTTTCGAACGCAGCCCAGGTCTGTAAATATGAAACCGGAATTTGCCCATAGATGGCCCTAGCTGTCAATGTAGTTACCAGGGACGTTAAGGGTTTACACAGTACCGCGATTCTGTAACTCATTATTGGAGTTAACGACACTTTCGTTATCGTTACGCAGCTTTTGTATACCGTAGAAAAGCTGCGTAACAATAACGAAACTGTCGTTAACTCCAATAACGAGTTACAGAATCGCATCACTGTACCGCGATTCTGTAACTCGTTATTGGAGTTAACGACACTTTCGTTATCATTGCGCAGCTTTTGTATACCGTAGAAAAGCTGCGCAACAATAACGAAACTGTCATTAACTCCAATAACGAGTTACAGAATCGCGGTACTGGGCCGTTAAACTCCCGTGTATATTTAGCGTCCAACGTTTGTGGCGCTCTCTGAAATGGGACATTTCTTCGGTGGTACTAAAATTCAATATGGCGTCATGTGTCAATGTGTGTGTATGTATAGCTGTCTATGCACACATATTAACACGTATGTGCGTGTAGTATATATAGGAAATACGAGGAATATTAGTGCGAAGTAAAAATGCAGAAAATAATGTATATTCTGTGAAATGTATATATTTGACGAAAAAAATGTAAATATGTATACATAAAGAAAATATTAATACCTTAAACATAAATATAAGGACAATAATTTGTTAATAATACTAAATTTTATAATAATATTAAAAAAAATTTATAATAAGATTGTATATTATCGCTGTCCCTAAAATGGTTGTAGCATACTCATAACTTTTTCTTCTCAGGTCCCTCCACTGTCTCCATTTTCAAATTCTTGAACCACTGTAGCCTACGTTCAGCATTTCGTGGGGATTTATGCGATGGTGCTGTCTTCCCTGGCGAACATCCTAGTACACAACATATTCGTACCATCTTGATCCCGCTGTTATGAGATCTATAAAAAAAATAAACCTGTATTTAGTTAAACAGATATTTGCATCATCAGTATATAATATTACAGTATTATGCATACTCAAATAAAACAAGTTGTTTGTCGCTAACAGGGAAAAGATTTTGGTGGTTCTTGAGTAACTGTTTCTTCTTGTTTTTTCTTCTTCCCTTGTTGAAGTCTTCTTGTAGTCCTTCTGCAAGAGAGAGAGAGAGAGAGAGAGAGAGAGAGAGAGAGAGAGAGAGTACATAAATATCTTCATAAATTATATATATATATGTAGAGTAAATACCATGAAGAAATTTTAGCTATCTATGCCTGCATGCAGCTCATGTTCAAAAAGCAACCAGCTAATATAACATGATTTGATATTACATTCAAGGATAGTCATAACATATTCTTCTTGTTTTCAGTCATCAATCTGCTGAAATAGCTCGTTCACAAGGTGTATCAAATTTTTTAGCAGCAGGTTAACAGCAGAAACTGAGCACAAACTTGCTGCAGGCATGCATCGCTAAGAATTTCTACAATCTTTATCAAACTTGCTCTTGTTATGTTAGTATATTGCAAAGCTTACTGTTATTTTTTACTTATTAGTCTCTGTTAGTAAAAAGTGGACACTTATACTAATGCATAATATTTATATATAAATACAATACAATATATAAAAACAAAACTTACACTTTGGTTGTCGTTACTGACAGTAATACTAAAAGTTTTTCCTTCTCGCACCTGCTTCTTCTCGTGCTTCTTCCTCGTAACACCTCTTCTTCGTAACACTTTTTTCTTTTTTCTTATTAAAGGCTTAAAGCATTAAAGCATTAAAGCGAACGCAACTGTAGCAATATGGCGGCCACAAATTAGTTCCGATTTCTCACATGTCGCATCTCAGAGAGCACTGCTAACGCTAATCATTTTCGCTCCATAAGAGTTTGCATGCCCTGGGTCTACAGGAGCCTACTAGAGACCTCTTGCGGAGATCCGCGAACTAGACAAAATTATATTGCAAATTATGAACAAAATAGAAGAGAATCACCTTATATGTATGATATTTGCAATCAGGAGAAACGTCCGCATGCTCGTACAGAGTGCTTTTTTGGAAAAAAGGTCTAAATAGAAATCGAATAAAAATTTTGAATGAAAGTGCATCCCGCGGTGCAGCACGAGCCTATATTTCCATTTATTATAAATTTTCAAGAATCTAAATGCAAAATCGGGCTCTGTACCGACCTAGATACTAATATAAGGAAGATGCCTATGTAAGTCTGATAAGCAAATATGATGTCTGCGTGGCAAAATATACTACACGGAAAAATACACGGAAAGTGTAGTCTAGATGCACTATGGTGCAGTCTATATGACCTAACTTTCCTGCCTTGCGTTCGCGCGAGCAATGCATTAGTATTAGGATATATATGAGCAGTGCATAAGTATTGCCGTGTGTATGTGTATGAATATCTTTCAGCTTCCACTGTAAAACTAAGATATTTTGTCACGTTGACGATATATGTAACCACCAAATTGATATGGAATATTCCTTGAACTATTATCGAGGTCCTTACGGAGCCAAATTTTGCAATCCAGCCGTCCATAATTTATGAAAAATAAATGAAGCGTCCGCCGTACCAAACACCGCTGCGAGTCACACGAAATATCATTTTACGAGATGCAATATTTCGTCTCTTTGACGATACGTATTATTATCAAATTGTTGCAGCATTTTCTTTGTACTATTTCCGAGATCGGTACAAATCCGGTCGTCAAAAATTTATAATATATAAATAAAGCCATCCGTCCTACCAGGCGTTAGAGCGAATCAGTCGAGAAATGATTGTAGGAGATGCAAGATTTCACCTCGTTGACGATACATTTAATATCCTTAATAATATATATAACCGCCAAATTATTATAGCATCTTCTTTGAACTAACCTCGAGAAACCTACAGAGCCAGATTTTGCAGCCAGTCCGTGAAAAATGTATCATAAATAAATAAAGATGTATGAAGCGTCGGAGCAGATCACGTACAATACCATTTTACAAAAAGAGATCCGCCTTGTAGGCGATATATGTAACCGTCAAATTTATATAGAATATTCCTTGAACTATTATAGAAGTCCCTACAGAGCCAGATTGTGCAATCCAGCCGTCGAAAATTTATAATATTTTAATAAAGCGAGCGTCATATGAAACATCGCAGCGGGTCCCGCGAAATACCGTGTTACAAGAAAAGATATTTTGCCTCGTTGCACTCATATATTACCACCAAATTGTTACAACATATTTCTCGATCTATTTCCGAGGTCTCTACAAAGCCAGTTTTCGCAATCAGGCCGTCTAACTTTTATTATAAATAAATAAAGATGCACCAAGCGTCAAGGCGGATCACGCGAATATAATTTCACAACAAGAGATATTCCACCTCGTTGACGATATACGAGGGCGGTCCGATAAGTACTTAGCCTCACCGCCTGATGGCGCCACTATCGCAAGAGAAATTTACTATCGTGTAGTACATTCTCGTAGACGGCTACTGTCGAAATTTCAGCCGAATCGGACTCATAGTTTTGTTTTGACCGCGTGTGGAAACGGGCGTGTCCGCGGATTTTAGAAAAATGGAAAAAGAGCAATATGCGGTCGGTTCTTGCGATTCGATTCTTGTTTTTGGAAGGGAAATCGCGCAGCGAAATCAAAGAGCGCTTGGATGCTGTGTACGGTGACTCTTCTCCTTCGATGGTGACCGTCAAAAATTGGTTTAACGAGTTTCAACGTGGTCGCACGTCGGTTTTTGATGAGCCACGCCCAGGTGCCCCGAAAACGGCTACCACGGAGGATAACATGACAAAAATCCACGATCTCGTATTGGCAGACCGCCGATTGAAGGTGCGCGAGATAGCTAAGACAGTAGGCATCTCAAAAGACCGCGTGGGTCATATCCTGCATGAAATTTTGGGCATGAGAAAGCTGTCGGCGCGATGGGTGCCGCGTTTGCTCACTCCGGACAACAAGCGCAACCGTGAGACCACTTCAGAGCAGTGTTTGACGCTGT